CGTGGAGAACCCAGTCGAAGTACTTCTTCAGGTAATAAAATTGAATTATAATCTAGTCTGCGTTACCTGTGTTAGTATATTTTATACAAATTGTTAATTTAATACTAAATTGGTTACTTTATATGCTGCCTCAAATTTTATGGAACTTAACAAAAAAAGCTTAGCTGTCCCATTAAAATGTCACCTGTTATTACTTTAATACCAACATTATAATAGAGGTACATTTAATAGTGTTAATCAATTTAATATTGGGACTTTAGTGGTATATTTTGGTGAAAGGGCTTATATATTCACATCCCTTATAAATGCCTACAATTTTAACCTTTCTGCAATTCTTCCTGCAGCCAATGCTGCCTCTTTTGACCAGAAAATAAGATAGGGAAGAAGGAGAGATCAAATTCTATTAATGCCTAACCATTTTATGTACTTATTTCTTTGAAGATATTTTGTGGTTATAGTAGAAATGGACAAGAAGGCAATTTTATTTACATATTTTAATTAGCACTTCAGTTGAGAGAGATGAATTTTTCCTTAAAATGAGTTCTTTGGATATGTATATAGAAAGAAATATGTATGTCAAATATAGAAATATAGAGAATAGAGAGAGAATATAGAAAAATATGTAGAATATTGAAAAAGATGAATTATAAGTTTTAAAGAACTCAAATGAAGTTTTTTGTTTCTTTTTTGTCATGTGTTAACTCTTTGTATATGGCATATTTATTATAGATCGTCAGGATTCAAGAAGCCATAGTTCAAGAAGAAGTTCTCCTGAGTCAGATCGACAGGTCCATTCAAGATCAGGGTCATTTGATAGCAGAGATAGGCTTCAAGAACGAGATCGCTATGAGCATGATAGAGAGCGGGAGAGAGAAAGGAGAGAGACAAGGCAGAGAGAGTGGGACCGAGACGCTGATAAAGACTGGCCACGAAACAGAGATCGAGATAGATTGCGGGAGCGAGAGAGAGAACGAGACAAAAGGAGAGATGTGGACAGGGAAAGAGAGAGACTAATTCCTGATTCTATGGAAAGGGACAGGGACAGAGACAGAACTTTTGAGAGTTCTCAAATAGAGTCAGTGAAACGCAGTGAAGCAAAACTGGAGAATGAACTTGAAAGAGACCTAGAAGGCACTTCCCGAGACTCTGTAGCTTTGGATAAAGAAAGAATGGATAAAGATCTGGGATCTGTGCAGGGATTTGAAGATATAAACAAAGCTGAGAGAACTGAGAGTATGGAAGGTGAGTGCCTCATCCTTCTGTCAGTTTTACTGCTCCATTCCTTTTCAGATTTCATGGGAAACATATTTTCTTTTGAAAGGTCATCCACTAATAGGCAAATTGACGA